TCGCGGGGTGGGTCGCGGGTGGGTCGCGGGCGGGTCGCGGGGGGGACGACGCAACAACAAGCAGAATCTTCGCCGTGGATCCCCACTTCAGCCACGCACCCAGGGACAGTGAACGACCGTTCGGCCCCCTCACTCTGACGTAGATTTGTATACATATACCTATACACCTATACATATACAGATACACCTACAAAAAACACATGCACATACACATACACATACATATCCACATAAAAGGACACATGCATATACATATGCATATACATAAACATGTACACATCAACATACTCGGTTTACGTTATACCATATTCTGTATAAGTTATACACACCTATCATTTACACCTATGTGTATTTATATATATATATATATATATACGACGTCGCGGCCACGCGCGCTGCGGCGCGGCGCAGGTCTAGTAAGGCGGGAGCGCACGATCGGGGCCAGGCCACGCAGCATGGAGAAACCAGAACACACGCGCACACACACACACACACACACGCACACACACACACACACACACACACACTCCCCTCGCGGTGCAGGGGGGTGGGACCCGTTTGGTTGCAAACACCAGCCCGTTTGGTTGCAAGCACCGGGGGTCCTGGCCAAATTGAAAAAGAAGTCTCAGGCGGGGACCATTATTGTTGTTGTAATCCGACGACCAACAGCGCAGAATAACCCGAGTGACTTATTTTCGCAAATAAAATTAGCCTGGCGAAGGACCCAACCATATGCAGCTGTGAATGCCGCAATTGTGCTGGGTGGTGGCGGACGCGTGCGGGCGGTGCCACTGGGACCTTCGGTGGAGCTCCCTATGGGCCACGAAACGCTGTACTGGGTGGGTGAGACGCGGTCAGCAAGGGCTGTGCTGCGTGGTGGCGGACGCATGCGAGCGGTGCCACTGTGACCTTCGGTGGAGCTCCCTATGGGGCCACGAAACGCTGTACTGGGTGGGTGAAACGCAGGCAGGGAGCAAGGGCTGTGCAGGGTGGTGGCGGACGCATGCGGGCGGTGCCGCTGGGACCTTTGGTGGAGCTCCCTATAGGGCTACGAAGCGCTGTTCTGGGTGGGTGAAGCGCAGGGAACAAGGGCTGTGCTGGGTGGTGGCGGACGCAAGCGGGCAGTGCCACTGGGACCTTTGGTGGAGCCCCCTATGGGGCCACGAAACGTGCGAGGGGTGTGCCAGAATGGGGTGTGGAACCGCATGCCAGCGCAGCCACTGGGGCCTTCGGTGGAGCTCCCTATGGAGCCACGAAACGTGTGAGGGGTGTGCCGAAATGGGGGTGGAACCGCATGCGAGCGCAACCACTGCGGCGTTCGGTGGAGCTCCCTATGGGGCCACGAGACGTGTGAAGGGCGTGCCGAAAAAGGGGGTGGAACCGCATGCGAGCGCAGCCACTGGGGCCTTCGGTGGAGCTCTCTATGGGGCCACGAACCGTGTGAGGGGTGTGCCGAAATGGGGGGGGGAGCCACATGCGAGCGCAGCCACTGGGGCGTTCGGTGGAACTCCCCATGGAGCCACCCACGAAGCGTGTGAGGGGTGTGCCGAAATGAGGGGTGGAACCGCATGCGGGCGCAGCCACTGGGGCCTTCGGTGGAGCTCCCTATGGGGCCACGAAACGTGTGAGGGGTGTGCCAGGATGGGGGGCACGAAACGTCTGAGGGGTGTGCCAGAATTGGGGGTGGAACCGCATGCGGGCGCAGCCACTGGGGCCTTCGGTGGAGCTCCCTATGGGGCCACGAAACGTGTGAGGGGTGTGCCAGAATGGTGGGTGGAACCGCATGCGGGCGCAGCCACTGGGGCCTTCGGTGGAGCTCCCTATGGGGCCACGAAACGTGTGAGGGGTGTGCCAGAATGGGGGGTGGAACCGCATGCGGGCGCAGCCACTGGGGCCTTCGGTGGAGCTCCCTATGGGGCCACGAAACGTGTGAGGGGTGTGCCAGAATGGGGGGTGGAACCGCATGCGGGCGCAGCCACTGGGGCCTTCGGTGGAGCTCCCTATGGGGCCACGAAACGTGTGAGGGGTGTGCCAGAATGGGGGTGGAACCGCATGCGGGCGCAGCCACTGGGGCCTTCGGTGGAGCTCCCTATGGGGCCACGAAACGTGTGAGGGGTGTGCCAGAATGGGGGTGGAACCGCATGCGGGCGCAGCCATGGGGCCTTCGGTGGAGCTCCCTATGGGGCCACGAAACGTGTGAGGGGTGTGCCAGAATGGGGGGTGGAACCGCATGCGGGCGCAGCCACTGGGGCCTTCGGTGGAGCTCCCTATGGGGCCACGAAACGTGTGAGGGGTGTGCCAGAATGGGGGGTGGAACCGCATGCGGGCGCAGCCACTGGGGCCTTCGGTGGAGCTCCCTATGGGGCCACGAAACGTGTGAGGGGTGTGCCAGAATGGGGGGTGGAACCGCATGCGGGCGCAGCCACTGGGGCCTTCGGTGGAGCTCCCTATGGGGCCACGAAACGTGTGAGGGGTGTGCCAGAATGGGGGTGGAACCGCATGCGGGCGCAGCCACTGGGGCCTTCGGTGGAGCTCCCTATGGGGCCACGAAACGTGTGAGGGGTGTGCCAGAATGGGGGGTGGAACCGCATGCGGGCGCAGCCACTGGGGCCTTCGGTGGAGCTCCCTATGGGGCCACGAAACGTGTGAGGGGTGTGCCAGAATGGGGGGTGGAACCGCATGCGGGCGCAGCCACTGGGGCCTTCGGTGGAGCTCCCTATGGGGCCACGAAACGTGTGAGGGGTGTGCCAGAATGGGGGGTGGAACCGCATGCGGGCGCAGCCACTGGGGCCTTCGGTGGAGCTCCCTATGGGGCCACGAAACGTGTGAGGGGTGTGCCAGAATGGGGGGTGGAACCGCATGCGGGCGCAGCCACTGGGGCCTTCGGTGGAGCTCCCTATGGGGCCACGAAGCGTGTGAGGGGTGTGCCAGAATGGGTGTGGGAGGGGGAGGAGGGGGGAGGAAGGGGAGGAGCAGGAAGGAGGAGGAGGAACGCGGGGCGACGTCTCTTCAAAACGAGGACCCAACACCACAGGATGGTTGGGAAAAAGCAGGGTGCGAGCCCTGGGGGAAGCACTTGAACAAACACAATGGTCACCGGAAGGGGGGGATCAACAGTACGTATTCTTCAATCATGAGAATGCAACGACAACAGTCTGCTCCCGACAACACACGATGTTGGACAAGCAAACAGGCAAACACCCTGAGACATCCCCCCACTCTGGGCGCGAATCCTGAAGTGTCCTGACCACTGGGGCCCCTCCTTGGGAGTGCTGAAACCAGCGCCTTGCCTGAGACATCCTCAGAATCTGCTCCGAAAGCGCAAGATGTTGGGCACGCAAACGGGCAACCCCCCTGAGACATCCCCTCCACTCTGGGCGCGAATCATGAAGTGTCCTGACCTCTGGCGCCGCCCCCCCGTAGGAGTGCTGAAACCAAAACCTGGCCTGAAACATCCTCAGAACCTGCTCCGAAAACACAGGATGCTGGGCACGCAAACAGGCAAACCGCTTGAGACATCCCAACAATCTGGACGCGAATCCTGGAGTGTCCTGACCCCTGGCGCCCATTCCTAGGGGTGCCCAAGTGCTACGCCTGCTTTATCGTGGTAATCATTGAACCACCAATGAGGTATGAGCGAGTCCGAGTCTGAATACGATAGGAGTATGAGTGTGAATTAGTTTGAGTGTTAGTGAATCCGAGAGTGAATGAGTCTAAGTGTGACTGAGTCTGAGTGCGAATGAGTCTGAGTGTATTGACTATGATTATGAGTGAGTCTTAGTGTGAGTGGGTCTGATTCTGAAGGAGACTCAGTGTGAGTGAGTCAGAGTCTGAGTGAATCTGAGTGTGAGTGAATATCAGAATGAGTCTGAGTGGGAGTGAGTCTGAGTGTGAGTGAGTGTGAGCATGACTGAGTATGAGTGAATCTGAGTGTGAATGAATCACTCTGGTTGGGGAAGAGGAGGAAAAGGAAGGTGAGGAAGTGGAGGAGGAAGAGGTTCTCTCGGAGCCGTCTAAGTAATAACGGGAAGCGAATCACAGAATATGGGGAAAACCTCATTGGCCTGGCGAAGGATCCGACCTATACAGCTGCGAGTAACGCAGGGTATGACTCTCTCATCATAAGCAGCGCGCACCGATATGGGTGGAGCCCGGGGCAGTGCGGATGGAGGGTGATGGACTGGGCTCGCAGAGGCGAGTTGAGCTCCTTGTGGTGCGAGATCCCAGTGACAGGCAAGCTGAGCCTCCTACCACCACTGGTCACGAGATGTATGAGGGGTGAACCGAAACTGGCGCGGGGCCGCATTGCGGGCCCTGCTACTAGGGCCTTCGGTAGAGCTCCCCATGGGGCGGGGACGCCGTGCGAGCTGTACCAATGAGACCGTAGAAAGGGGCTCCCTATGGGGCCACGAAGCGTGACAGATGTATGCCGAAGGGGGGCTGGTACACGATGCGAGCTGTGCCATTTGGGCCCTAGGTGGAGCTCCCACTGGAGACCTTGGTTGAGCCCCGTATGTGAAGACGAAGTGAATATGGACGTGCCGATTTGAAAGCGGGTACGCCATGCGAATTGGGCCACTGGGGCCCCAGGTGGGGCCCTCGTGGGCTACGAAACGAGTGAGGGGTTCGCCCGCTTGCGGGTCAGTGCGCCATGTGATCTGTGCCACTGGGGCCCAGGAGGAAGAGGGGGAGGAGGAGGAGGAGGAGGAGGAGGAGGAGCAGGAGCAGGAGGAGCAGGAGGAGGAGGAGGAGGAGGAGGAGGAGGAGGAAAAGGAAAAGGAGAAGGAAGATAAGGAGGAGGAGGAGGAGGAGGAACTGCAGCCCCAGGTGGAGCGACCGCGCGAGGGGTGTGCCCACGTTGGTGTGGGTTCGCCATGCGATTTGTGCTGCTGGGGCCCCTATGTGGAGCTCCCTATGGGCCATGATGCTTCAGAAATATACACGCGGAGAGCAGAGACAGGAGGCGGAACTGCGGATTCAGAGCGCAACAAGAAGAGCACCTGCGCTGACAGCCCTGCGGCGCATGCAGACTTCGGTCGGCGCGTAGACCTTCCGCTCGGTCCCGTCACCAGCATGGCCGGGCCGACCCTTTGCTTTCGAAAAGGCTCTGAAGTATCAGCTGACCGCGTGCTGCTGTATGCCTGGGCGCTCGCAAAGACCTGCACAATGAAAGCGTTCACGCGGATCAACACTTGCTTGGCACTTACCCAAAATCGCGCCAGTCCAACGCCTATCCAACTACGTACGCCTTGCTCTGGTCCCACCTCTGAACAGCTCTCAGAACAAGTTTGCCAGAAGACTGCCAGACATCACTGAAACCAGAACACATTCCTGAAGGGCTGCCGCGTCGAACACAATTTATTTTCAAGGGACGAAGGATGCGACCCTGCGGCCACTGCACATGGGACAACTTTGTATAACGCGCATGTTGCCATCCTGGTCAATCACTCTCGGCGTCAAACCACAACATGCTCTGGAATGCGGTCTGCTCTCTCTGAGGTGATCGCGCTTGGCCTAGAAGCTCTCAACTGAAGCACGTCATCTACAAGGGGTCGTGGCCCTGGAGGCGAAGATCCATGCTAACTTACATGAAGGGGCCCTGGGACACACAAATAAATACACGCAAATAAACAGATTCCATTTATTTTCCCATATTTTCTGGGTTTCTGTCTTCCCCCCCCACTTCCTAATTTTCCCATAGTTTCTGGGGAATCGACGATCAATTGTGTCTGTGTGTTTTTTGTCCCTCCTGAGTTTCACCCCTCACAGGGTCCGCCGATGGCCGCTTGGCTTCGATCTCCGGCCCTTGGGAGCCGCCAGGGACGAACTGCCAGTCCACGGCTCGAGGGAGGTCGAATCTGGCGCAAGCTGGAGGCCCACGCATCGCAGGAGATTCGCCTCGCCGGTGTTCTTTGTGGGGTCGGCCAGTAGTCGCTCGGATTCGCCCCCATCGGTGGGAGCCCCTGGGACGGGCACTCCACCCTGTCTCTTGCCAGATCTGTGCGGGGATGCTGCTGATGACGATGAAGAGTGAAGTTGGGGAGTGGGTGGCTGAGGATGGCGGAACAGATGAAGATGGGTGAGGGCGATGATGCCGAGGATAGCGATGTTGAAGATGGTGTGAATGTGTTCTGGGTTGGGCTTTGTTTCTGCTCCGGAGGTCCAGAGAGAGCAAGAACCACACCTCGGACATGGCCTACCGTTCGCCAGTCTGGAGTTGCGAATCCCGTGACCTTCTTTTGCAATCTGGCGCAACAACCCGTCACTGCGAAACACTGTTCACATGCGCAACCCAATTTGCTGTGAACGGCAGCGGCCAAAGTGTTCCTGACAACTTTTCGGAGCCCGTGGTGCCCTACCAAACCTGGAACGCATTTCATGAAGAGGCATGCCGCCCAATCACGGCATGCAAGCTTGAATCTGAACGTCACTGGCACGCCCCTCTGAAATTGTGCCACCAGCTGCAGAACCACGGTAGAAGCATGCGGATATGAAGGAAGAAGTGAGGCTCAGCCTGCACGAACAATACCGAAACCTTCAATGCACCGTGCCGTGTATTACCGAAACCATTGAGCATCATTGGGCGACAGCGCCTTACCCCTGCGAGGGAGGATGAGGAATACGGTTGGACCTAGGGCAGAATAGCATCCTTCAAGAACATGAGACCCTCCGCCAGACAAAACACCCCAAACCATAAGATCACTCGAGGGTACCCTCTCCCAGGATGCACAAAAACATCCAACAAACACGAAGAACACTGGGGTACCCTCCCCGAAACGACCTCGAGCTTGTACCTCGGTCCGGCCGCAGGAGAAGGAGGAGACAGACCCAACAGGCCGACCCCGAAACCGCGAGAACAAGAGCGTGGGCTCCGGGCTGCACCGCTCCAACTTTGGGCGTCGCTAATACGTTGGGGGGTGATCATGGAGGGGGGGAAGAAAGGTGTACTTTTCGGGCCCTCAAGGCTTCCCCTTGGGCCCCAAAGGGCCCCTTTAGGGGCCCTAAAGGGGCCCTTTCTGCAGCCCTCGCTGCCCGCCCCATTTATCGCATTTATCGCTCTCCCATTGCCCGACGCCCAAGCCAGGCAGGTGGCAATGCGGCCGGGTGGGGGGACCCGATGGCGATCGCAAGCGCACGCTGGAGGGTTGCGAAAACTGGGGGTGAGAGACCCTGTTGCGGGATAGACGGTCGACCTATGTGTTGGGTAGAGCTGCGGGCCATGTGGGCGGTCTGGGGGGGTGGAGCGAACCCGAATCGCCCCCCCAGTCCCAGACCCCCGACATCGTGATTTTTGTCGCCACGTCGACCCCCAGAGGTCTGGACCCCTCCCCCGGGACCAGCTTTCCGTGCTGAGTGGTTCTGCGACGGTCCCCAGGCCCAGGAAAGGCACCCCGAGGCCGAAAAAATAGTGCAACACCTCCCGCCGCGATTTCTGTCGCCGCGCGAGGGGGTCTGGGTTTCGGCGGTGGACAAACCTCCCTTTAGCACACCTCCCCTCAGTGAAAGCGGCCTGGGACCGAAACCGACGGACCTGGACCCGCAAAACTGACAGCCGCGACGCCCTCTCGCGATCCGCAAGCGGCCAATTCCTTAATCGACGTGTCAGGGTAGGAGGTCTATCCACCTCCGAGGGTTGCGCGGCGCTCAGCCACCGCGGCCTGCCTTCTGGCCCCAGGATGCCACGCCCACGCGCCACGCGCCCAGGCCTCCGCTCCCCGCCCCGGTCCCTTCCGGCGGCAGTCCGGAAAGCGGGGGCGGGACTCGGTGGCCTCCTCCTCCTCCTCCTCCTCCTCCTCCTCCTCCTCCTCCTCCTCCTCCTCCCTCCCCCTCCCCCCTCCTCCTATCTCCCCCTCCTCCTCCTCCCCCTCCTCCTCCTCCTCCTCCTCATCCTCCTCCTCCTCTTCCTTCTCCTCCCTGTCCTTCTCTCCTCCTCCTCCTTCTCCTCCTCCTCCGCCTCCGCCTCCGCCTCCTCCTCTTCCTCCTCCTCCTCCTCCTCCTCCTCCTCCTCCTCCTCCTCCTGCTCAAAGATGGGGGCCTGAGGGGTGGGGTCACATATAGGGAGCGCGCCAAGGACGTACGCGTGCAGCCACGTACACGAATGCACATCGGTCGGAAGAAGTAGGCAGAACCATGAGGCAGGAGAGCGGATCAAGCCGATTGGGCTCTCAAGCCTTCCAAGGGAACAGCAGGACACAGCAGAGGCGGACCGATTCTTCAAGTGGGAAGGCGCCTGAAGTAGATCGGGATCTTGGAATCCAGAAGCACCTACTCCCAACGACCGACGCGTACAGTGGAGGCCAGTCCACGAGGAACCCTCCACAAGAAACCCAACCCTGAGACCCCAGGGCGTCCACTGCTTCTTGGCGTGGGAGCAGCACGCTCTCCACATTGAAATCATCGAACCCGAAGAATAGAGGCCTCCCAGATGGGGTCCGAGCACATGGGGTCGGAGGATCTCGCCGCATCGCCGATACATCGGCGATGCATCGCCGATGCATCGGCGAGGAGTCGGCGATGTACTGGCGAAGTCGGCTGTGCATCGGCGACGTCGGCGTGGAGAAAATTGGGCCCCACATCGAGCCGCATCGCCGATGCATCGGCGATGCGGAGCGATTCTTCGACCCCATCTGCTTCGACCACATCTCGGGAATAGATAGAACCCCCTTTAGTAAAACGTGGTTTAGTGAAACGACCTCGGGCCCAAACCTGGCGGGCGCAAGCCTGGAAAATGACGGCCGCGGCGCCCTCTCGAGAACCGAAAACGGACAATTCACTAATCGACGTGTCAGGGTTGGGGTTCTGTCCGCCCCAGAACATCTAGGAGGCCTAGAAAGAAACCCAGGGCACCCTGGTGGCAAACAGGGCGCTTCTCGGCATGGGCCCCCCCTGCACGGCGCCCCCCCGGGTCCGCGCGGCCAGGCCCGTGCTGCGCACGCTCGCGCAGCGTGTGCAATCTCGAAGCCAGCGCGTGGCTTTTCGTGTGCGTGCACGCCCTTCTTTCGCGCCTGATCCTAAGGATGGAGAGGCATCCAAGGGTGGGTTTACAATTCGGCGGCGAGCGAGGCGGGGGGGAAGTGAGACGGAGAAGGCCTTCTCAGAAGGTTCGGAATCCCAGCGGCCTTCTGAGAAGTTCCCTAAGCGTTCCCAGAAGACAAAGAAACCTTCTCAGAAGGCGCGAGGGCTTCTCAGAAGCCCCGCCGCCTCCCACCCAGGCCCAAAATCGAAGAACATCTCCCACTGATACGGTGTTGGTGCCGGCTCGCAAACCTCCAAGACTGGTGCTCGGGCGAGGGCATCAAGCACCCCGCTTTTCTCGAGCGGCTCGCGCGGCGAGTGGAGCTTCCCACGCGCGGCGCGCGAGAGCAACGAAGCCTGCTATTATGCTGAGATGTCCGTGTGGCCGAGATTGGGTGCCGTCTCCCAGCCACAAATGATCGGAGACGCTTCGAGAGCCCCAGCCGGAGCTCCGAGGCGAAACCTCTCCGCGGGTCACACCAGCCCGAGAGAGGTGGCTACAGGCTGTGACGATGAGATAGTTCCAGACCTCCGACGCGGTGTTCTGTTCAAGACGTGTGTCCCTGGAGCTGTGGACCCTATCCATGTGCCATGTTTTTCGCCGTGGGTTGCTCTCTGATTGCCCCAAAGCCGAACACACAACCCGACACCGAGAGCTGGGGAAAATCTCAGCCGGGCGTATTGTCGCACCGCCCGGACGGAGGTCTGGGCACCGAGATAGCATGGGGCCTCTATTCGACAGCTCCCAACGCTTGGGTAAGCTCGACCCTGTCCCAAGAGAAGTGATCCGCCACCGTGACGCTGGGCACGGAGTGGGCGTGTCCTCAGGTCCTTTGCCAAATCCCCTGAGCCACAGTCATCGATCCTAAGGATTCTTAAGAATAGCCCGGACCCAGAATTCACACATCTCCTTGGGCTTGGCGCGCTTCCCCTGCTGTTCCCCTGGGGCCGAAGGCCAGTAGATACCGATGCACTCGCTCGCCGCCGCACTGACGGCTCAATCGGTCAGCAAAGTCTGTTGCAGGAGCTTCCCCTCCAGGGAGTCGAGGCGGGTCGAACACCTGGATAGCATTTTTTACTTATTGAGAACATGCTAGAATAGAGCCGATCCATCGCGACCACGAATCGGATTCCAACTTCATTCGACACAGGCTTCAGCAATCACAAACATTAAACTACAGACAAGATAAGGCGTACAACAAACGCACACGAAAGTCAAACTGCCACGGATTACAGCGTCGACTCGATTTGCTTTACTCAGGGGGAGAGGCAAGGGGCGCACACCTGAGAAAACGAGGGAGGGGCCCAAGGAAACCGGCCTCGGGAGGGACTCTTCCAAGGCAAAGCCCCGTTTGCACCGACAAGGCAGATCATGTCCGCAGCTGCTGGAGTGCTGCACTGGATCCCTGGAGAGCGGTGGATATGGATATGTTCCAGCCTTCATGGACAGGCAGGCATCCACATCCACCACTCTTTCAGAGGTCATCGAGATCCCAGGGTGCCACTCCGAGGTGGTGGATATGGAACCTGGAAGTATTCTGGCGGTGGCGAATGAGAATCGACAACGACTTTGTGCCACACAAGCTGGCGCGCGCGCACTCGCTCGCAAGCCACAAACGGCGCCATCCCACCAGCCAACGACTCAAAGGAACAGTCGCCGGATTGACCCGACGGCAAACTATGCTGACGCAACACATCGACACACATTGTAAGCAACCATTGAACAACGAGCTCGGCCCAACAAGTGAACACGTGTTCCGCTGGGAGATAAAGAGGGGACCAGCGACTCCGCCATCGTGCCCCCTGGCACGTTGAGGCGTGGTCGAGTGTGAACGGCTGCCTCGTAAGGTGCTTGGACGTCTCCTATGGACCGCCCAATCTCGTCACTCGCTGCAGCGTGCACCGCGCCCCTCTCGCGGCTGGGCTGCTTGACGCCTCTCCGGGACAACCCGAAGCTTCCCGTGCCTTCCAAGCCGGCCCGGGCAGGCCAGAAAAGCCGACAAGACGGCCCAACGTTGCGTCAAGAGGCACTCGAACGGCCCCGAAGAGAACCCCAAGAAGCTCCAAGAGGCTTCCAACACTCTTCAAAAGAAGGCCGAATGGCCCTCCAGAAAGGCCCTCTAGGAAGCCCTTGAGTGCTTGAAACTGTCGGGCTTCCCGCGCCCTTCGGCTCAAGATGGCTCCGAGAGGACCTCAGAGGATCCGAATCCGCCGACCCTGTGGGCGTGCGTAAGACTCTGTTCCGCTGGACTCGTGGTCGTCGCTGCCGCCGCCGCCGCTCCTCCCTGCTCCCCTGATCCCTTCGCCGCTTCGCCCACCCTTCCCTGGGCACTCCTCCTCAAGCGCGGCAGGAGACAAAGTGACACTTAGCAGCGTCGCGACTGAGTCGAAGGGACGCCCCTTCCCTTTGATCCCCCTTCCCCGCCGGGGGGGAGGTCCCAGCGGGGGTAGCGCGGGGGGGTCGCAAGGAGGGGGTCCCAAGTCACAATACAATCCCGCCAGAGGGCACCGGGACCCACACATGCCCCACGACGGCCCAAGAGTGCTCCACGAGGTCCCAAGACGGTCCAAGAGTGCCCCGAATCGCCGAACGATCGACCAAAGACGCCAAACATGGCCTCCAGACGACCCAAGAGACAGACCCTCACCCACGTCTCCACCGTCATCGCCGCCGCCGCCGTCCTCGTCCTCGTCCCCTTTGGGCGATGGCTGGCGTTTTGGCGACGCCAGTGGGAGGGAGGACCTGTTAACGACACCCAGGCTCGTGTGGTAGCAACTAAAGTGAGTCTGGTGTGTCAGCGAGGCGCGATGCGCGACTGCCAGAGTCAGCCTTCAGGGTCGGCGGCACCGGTCGTAAGGCCTCCTCAATCGAGCCCCAAGGTCCCACGAGGTCCCCCAGACGGCTTGGGACCGCACCGAGAAGGCCTCAAGTCGCCGAGAAAGCCCAAGACGGCTCCAAGATTGCCCACGAGGGCCCCACGAGGCTCCCACGACAACCCCCAGGTCAAGAGAAGCCCAAAAAGGCCCAAGGGGGCCCCACAGGACCCCAGGACAGCCCTGCCTCAAGCCTTCAAGCCAGTCCAGGTCGACCCACCCCGAAGAGAGTTGTTCCATGTAACAGCCTTCTGGGTGATGCCCCAAGCGTAATCTCACAGAGAGCTGCGCTGGCACGATGGCGGAACTTGCCGCAAGCAACTGTGATAACCACGTAACGAAACTATCCCGCCCACGGGCCCTCCTGCTCCCGCTTCCTTACCCCATCTCGTGCTGCTGCGATTCATCCTCTGCCTCCTCTGCTTGATCCTCCTCCTACTGGTGATGCTGCTAATATTCCTATCCCACTTCCTCTCCTTGATCTCCACCTCGCCCTCGTCGTCTCCTTCCCCGCCTGGTCCTCATCATGTTCCTCCTGATCGTCGTCTTCCTCCTCCTGCTCGTCATCCTCCGTTGCGTTCACCTCCTTCTCTCCATCCTCCTCATCCTACTCCTCCTTCTATGTTTCCTCCTCCTCCTCGAACCTCCTCCGCCTCCACGGGAAACTAACACACACACAACACAACACAACACAACACAACACAACACAACACAACACAACACAACACAACACAACACAACACAACACAACACAACACAACACAACACAACACAACACAACACAACACATCACAACCACACACACAACACAACACAACACAACCACACACACACACACACATCTCCCAACACTGAAACGTCCGGCGGGTCTACATGCATAACACACACGTGTGGTCCAACATGTGTGCCTGTTTTGGATCAGTGCTGGGCCCCGCTTGGGGCCGTTTCGGGGCTGTTTGGCGCCCTCATCAGCGCCCTTGGGGCCCATTGTGGGCATTTGGGGTACGTTTGGGCGTCTGTGGGGGAAAAGGGTGGGGGTGCACACCTGGAGTTTTAGCGGACCGTCTGGGAAGTACTGCGGCTGTCTCAGGGCGGTCTGGGGCCCTCTTCGACCGTTTTGGGGTCTCGTGGAGTCCAGCTGGGGGTTGCTGTGCCAAACCTGACAGTTGACACAAGAGGACCCCAAGAGATCGCACGATGGTCCCAATGTAACCCGAAGAAGGCAAAATGAAGGGCCCCCGAAACCCAGATACATTCTACGTTGCGCCCAAGCTTTGCCGTCCCCTCTACCGGACGATGGGGGGACCAACCCCAAGAGGCCCCGAAGAGCTCCCCTGGAGATCCCCGATGGGGCCCCCAAGAGTCCCGGGAGGCTTCCGAACGATTTCCAGCATGCCCCCGCCGTCCCCAGCGAGCGCTGTCGGCAGCGCGCGAGGGAGTGGGGCGATCGGCGAGGCTATTGAAGACAAGCGCCGCCACCCGGCGCAACGCCGTGTTGCGCGGGGCTGAAGCCTTGGCACAACCACGAAGAGCCATGCCTCCAAGAAACGTTATGCCCACGATCTGCCCGGTAGGCGTTTTCCCCAACGCGGGTGTCGGGCGACACTGGGAAACAACGACCGCCGCCAAGTAGCTCCCCAGTCCTCACGACCACTTTGGCGCCGACGCATTGGGCAACGTCGGCGGCAAAACGTCCATGTTGGATTGAAGCATGTCGACTATTTGAATGTTGCTGCAAACAAGACGGACCTACCGGACGGGCACGACGTTTTTACACAAACGCCCACGGCCGCCTCGGAATGTCGGAATAAAAAATTGAGAAGGGGCTTTACAAGAACCCAAACAACGGCGGAACTTGTACGATTGAGAACGCTAGGCGTTGGTGATGGTGACAATGATGATGAGGATGCGGATGGCGGTGCTGGTGGTGGTGGTAGTGCTGATGAGGGGTGAATCGATCCTGCGCGGCGCATCTAAAACAAAAAACCGCACTGAACGCGAGGAACAGCAATGGCGAACATGGGGGGGGGGAAGGAAGAAGGAGAAAGGAAACCAATGACAACTACTACTAAGGAGGAGGAGGAGGAGGAGGGAGGAGGAGGGAGGAGGAGGAGGAGGAGGAGGAGGAGGAGGAGGAGGAGGAGGAAGAGGAGGAGGAGGAGGAGCGAGCATCGGAGGGAACGGTGCCGCCTCCCCCGCGCCCGCGCGCGCCCCACGCGCAGCGGGCCCACGCGCCTGCCACAGCGGGCGCCCGCGCGCTCAGCGTGCGCGGCGCGCGACGGCCCCTCGGGCTCCGCGCGCCTCCACCCAGCGCCGCTGCGTGCTCAGCGGCCGTCGGCCGAGCCAGCGCGCCCAGCGCGGCTGGGGGTCGCCCATCAGCCCGCCAGCGGCTCGATGGACACCGCAATCTTGCCCGAGACCGCTGGCGCCAGCTTCTTGCCCAGCCTGGCGATGGCCAGCTTGCCCTCGGCCGAGGCGCGGCCGCAAGGGGCAGCGAAGCTGGCCGCGCGCGCGGAGCCCACGGCGCCGCAAGCTGCGCAGGCCGCGATCGGCATCTCGCGCACGAGGTCGGCCTCGCGCAGGGGCCGCAGCAGCGCCCAGAAGTGCGCGTCGTGGCCGTCGCCCTTGAGCCGCTCGTTGTGCTGCAGCGCCGCCGCGGTGATCGAGCCTGGGCACTCGCTCGTGCGTTCGACCCACCTGCAGCGGCTGCGCCGCCTCTTGCCAGGAGGCCCTCGCCAGTCGCACGAGAGCTTCGCCGCTGGCTGCGCTGCCGCTGCCTTCGGCGCAGGGCGGTTCGGCTCGGCGACGCGATGCGCGGCGCCCCTGCCGTCCAGGGCGCCGCCCACCGCCGAGACCCACATGCCGATGCCCTCGACCAGCTTGTCCGCCATGACGGGGCGCTGCCGATCAGCGTGCTGCATGCGCCCAGCGGCCGCTGCCGACTTGGCAGCTCTGTCGGCGTATTAGTTGTCCAGCCAGTCCCCGTGCATGATCTCGCCGTGGTCGGCGGCCCTCTTGGGCCGGTGGGCGGGCGCCTTCCCGACCAGCGGCCCGTCGCGCCCCAGGCCGCCGAACTCGCCCAGCAGCCTCCGCGCCTCTCTCCAGAGGTGAGCCCACGCCGCCCCATGCGCCGCGGTGCGCCCGGGCCCAAGATCCAGGGGGCCGCGGTGCACGAAGCCGCTGTCCA